GCGGCGGAGCTGCGGGACTGGAACTGGACGTTTGGTAAGACGCCTAAGTTTAGCGTCCAGACTGTCCTGGACCTGACTGACGACCACTCGCGCGCTCGCAGCTCCGCCCGGCTGCACATGGAGGTGAAGAACGGCGTGATCGATAGCTGCCAGCTGGACGTTCCCGCCGACTGGCTCCCTCCGCGGCTGAGCGGTGAGCTGAGCGGCGTGCTGGTCGGCGAGAGGTTCTGCGGGCATCGAGCGGCGGCGGCGGTTACTGCGCTGCTGCGGCCCGAGAGCGGCGAGCTGCAGGACCGACTGCGCCGCCTGGGTGACGCTGTGGTGTCTGTGATGGGCTGACAGTGCTGCTGCGCCCCCTGCAGGCTGCGGACGGCGTTACAGACCAATGTTCAGGCATTAACATCAGTTTGTCCTGAAGGCGGCGCCGAAGGAAACATCGTGATGTCATATACGGGAACTGCCAATCACAGCTGAGAACGTCAGTCAACAACAACAAAATGTCAACAATCGTCTCTATAAACAACAACAGATGTAAATAAATCAACTCTTTATGTTATGATGTTGGTCTGTTTTATTTTATTTACACAAACAGCAAAACAAAAACATTTAAATCTCAAACGCTACAGATCTTTCAAAATAAAGGCATTACATTAAAACAATAGATGATACAGAATCAATGACGATGATAAATCTGTTTATTGATCATTTAAAGCCTCACGAACCTCACGGCTCATGTCGCAGGACGCATGCGCAGTGCTCCAGATTCGAGCCATGCGTGCTGCTGGGAAAAACGTGAGGAGGTGTCACTCTGATCTTATTCCCGGGAACCAAATCCAGATTTAATTTTGTATAAAAGGTATAAAAAAAAAATACAATATAAGATAAACAATAAACTCTTAGTTAAATATAGAAAGTAGAGATAAGAATAAAATCAAATGAAATAAATGTAGAGAACTGAGAAAGAAAAAAAGAAACATTTCATATGTTACAATTCATCATACAAATCGATCTTATGACACTTTTAGTAGCATAAAGGAAACTAAGATAACGTTTAATATTTTAAATCATTTATTGTATATATTATATATTATAGATGTATTTATATTGATTGACAGTTGGCACATATTGGGTTTCTATGGAAACGGGAAGCAGCAGCGGAGTGAGACTTCACTCGGTGTCTGTCAGCAGACGATCTTTGTGTGTGTTGCAGCGGAGAGAGAACCGGAACGGAGAACCGGAGAACCGGGAGAACCACCCGGAGCAGAAAGGATGGGGAAGAAACGAAGAAAATCCGGAGAGGCAAGGTAGAGAAGAACTGCTGCCGCCCCGTCACTGTCCTCACCGGGACGGACTTTCCGCTCCGCTCACAGCTGATAAAAGGGCCCTTATCTAATTGGTCTCTTG